CGACATGAATATTCTAGGATACAATAGTTTGGTGTCATTTATTAGAAATGATCCATATCTTAGGGGCAACCTTTGCTGCAATCTCAAAAGGTTATTCACATCAACATCTTAGGTAAGTGAGGTAATCACTCTATCATGATCTATTATCAATTTCAACAAGAAGTCCTTCAATATTAAGGGCAATATCATTATAATTATAAATATATATATATTGTCCTCTCACGTGTTAACCAATAACCATTCTTGCATCAATTTTATGGGAAGTAAATTTGGGTTGGGAAAAACTTTGATAGTAATCACAAATATAGTTGTGGTCAACAAGTCCCTCTAATACTTTTTAAATAATCCTATTAGAAACCATTTATTATAAATATTCTAACAAATATAAGAAGGTTTCAAGTGAATCACAAATTTTACACATTTCCCAGCTAGACTTCTACGTCTAAGCTGGGTAATAATCTTAGCCTTCAAATGGAAGTAATGGTCTAATGACAGACTAATCTTCACCTTTAATTTAGGATAAACATAGCTTTTGCCCTCTCCCAATTAAGGTATAATTGATCCCAGGGGAATTCGATTCAACCTCTTCGATATATGTTAACGTCATTAAGCAATGCTTTAACAAACAATCTCAGATAGATCAAACATCCTTAGTGGATTCCCTTGACCTCTTCCATACAAGTTAACACCATCAAGTAATCCTTTGGAAATCAACCTCAGATAGGTTAAACATCATTAATAGATTTATCTTAACCTCTTCCATATATATTAATGTCATTGAACAATACTCTAATAAATAACCTCAGATATGTCAACCATTCATGGTGGATTCTCTCGATCTCTTTCATATAAGTTAATAACAACAAGTAATACTTTGATAAATAATCTTGGATATGTCAAACATCATTACTTAATTTATGACAACCTCTTCTACATAGGTTAACGTCATCAAACAAAGCTCTAAAAAATAATTAAGATAAGTTAAACATACATGGTGGATTCACTCATCCTCTTCCATATAGATTATGTTGTTAAGTAATGCTTTGAAAAATAATCTCGGATTGGTTAAACATCCTTGATGGATTTCTCTCTAGACCTCTTCCATACAGATTAATCCAATCAAGTTGTGCCTTGGTAAATAACTTTGGATATGTCAAATATCTTTAGTGGATTTCTTCCAACCTCCACTACACAGTTTAACTCCATTGAATAATGCTTTGACAAAAAATATCTGATATGTAAAAAATCTACAATGGATTTATCTTGACTAGTTAATGCAATCAAATATTACTTTTGTGATTAATCTCGGATAGATCAAACATCGTTGATAAATTTCTCTTGACCTCTTTTATATGACAATTTGAAGCATCTCTCTTAAATTTTTCTTCAAGGAAAGATCAAAGCCTTTTTACCATCAAGCCTCCACTCAGTTGGCACCATTAGTGTGCCTCTAGACTGCTGTCTTTGGCACACCACCTTACCCCTTCCATCGAGTTGTCCTCCCTTGTCAACATGGATGCTTATGGCCTTCAATAGACTATTACCATATCACCATCATTATTGGACCTTTATCTGACTATCATTATTGGTCCTTTGCCTCTCGACCTCTGCCTGCTCTTTACCACCTGACGACCATCATTGGTTCATTGCTCGACTACCACCATTGACACACAATCACCATTGCCCGCATTAGAGGACTAAGCCTTTATCTGAGATTGAAGGTCTTTCGGCTCCTGCATAATAGCTTTCCCCCTTTTATAGGGGAAAATTGGAGCTCATGTTAGAGGACCAAGACTTTACCAGAGATTGAAGGTCTTGTGACTCTTACAGAATAGCCTTACCCCTTTTATAAGGGAAAGTTAAAGGCTACGTAAGAGGATCGAGTCTTTACTAGAGATTGATGATCTTGCAACTCCTATAGGATAACCTTCCCCTTTTTAGAGGAAAAACTGGAGTCTGCGTATGAGGACTGAGCCTTTATTAGAAATTGAAAGTCTTGCGACTCTTATAGGACAACCTTCTCCTTTTATAGGGGAAAATTATAGCCTATGTCAGAGAATCGAGCCTTTATCATAGATTAATGATCTTATGACTCTTACAAGGTAGCCTTGCCCCTTTTATAGGGGAAAATTGTAGATTGCATTAGGAGACCAAACCTTTATCAAATATTTATAATCTTGTTTCTTCTACAAGTTAGCCTTCCCATTTTACAGGGGAAAACTAATGTACTAATTCAAATATGTAAAATAAATTTTCCTTAAATACATGAAAGTTTTGAAGTAAAGCACTTTAATGGTGATTTGGTGAGGGATACAGCGCCATGCTATATATATATATATATAGCCTCCAATGCTGAGCAGTGGTTAGCCGGTCAACAAGCTAGTTCAACGAGCCTACACATTGGCTCAATTTTGGGCATGGATAGTCTGATTCAGATGTTTTTTTGTTCCTAAATTATTTTTTGACATTTTGTGCTCAATTTTTATACTTTCATAACCCAACGGTGCCTCTACAATCAGTTTCAAGCAATTTTAAAATTTTGGAGTGAAAATTTTAATATTTCTTGCTACAATCAATGTCACGACTTCAAGGAATGCTAAAATTAGGATGAAGAGTATTTTACTTGGTTCATGACCTTAAGGGAAGGTACATGCGTTGATATACAAGGTGTGGTCGCGCCTCGTAATTATCTAAAAATTATAATTTATATTTCAATAATTTGAAAGACTCATACATATCGAACTTCGTGGGCTTCGACATCTAAAAATATGGAAACAACTAATACATCACAAAAATTTGCCTTGATCGAGCATGAATCTCGCCATCTCGGGGCATATCTTAATTGATAACTTTCAAAATTAATTTCGGGATCATTCGAACACCATTTTTAGCAAACTTATAGTGAAATTGAACATCTCCATAAGACTAACCCAACAACACTAAAATCAATCATATGTGAGCCCAAATGGGCTTAAATCAAGGGACCAAAGCATATTTAGAATTTTTAAATTATTAATTGGATGACAAATGATATCCAATTATGATATGCTTATAGTTAAATCGAGCTGCTAGACGAGACAAATCCAACGAGCCCAAGATCTTTTTATTCTAACATCATTAAGACACTTAAATATTGCATGAATACTCTATGATTGAAGAAATCAATATGGGTCATTCTATGGAGCACTCCGAACCTACCCTGGATCTTCTCCATTTTTATAGGGTGTGCTACTCATAAAAATTATAAATAAACTCCCACTCTTGACATGATAGAGACCCTTTGGTTGGAGATTGGAGAGAGCTCAAAGGTTTCAAGGATATTATAGTTCTACCCAAGCACCACATCCAACAAACTTTCATCAACCACCACTAGAAGACCCCTAGTAGTCGATAGTCGTTGGACTACCACCCATCCGTCGACCGTCACTGGACCATTTCCTATCAGCCAGCCGTCACTAGTGCACCGCCTGTCTGCCGACCATTGCTGGACCACAACCCATCCATAGATCGACGTCGGACTACTTCCTGTCTTTAGATAGTCGTCGACCATTGCTCGACTCCAATCACTGTCGCTCATCGACTACGGTTCCTTAGACATCCGTCGCACGCTGACTATAGTCCCTCCGACTTCCATTGCCCATCGATTGTGATCCCTCCGACCACCGTTGTCGGACTACAATCTTAATGATTAAATGAACATGCCAACACTCTCTTGAATACAACTTCATATCACTAGATTCTTTTAACTCCTATCATGTAATGTGCTGTGTATGATGTATATTTGAAGTGTCCAATAAGCCGAAGATAGTGGTTCTCATAAAACTTAAGTCACAAGTAACCATAGGCATATTCCTGTTAAAATAAACGAGGGATAGGGACTTTTTATGCTTTCAGGGATATGCCACATTTCTAAGAAAACGCGTTGTGAGTTGGCATCTTAAGAAATACATAAATAAGACTTTCATTCTGTGGCACTAAGTATAATAAAGCCAAGAAATAGATGTTAATATATAGTTACGTTAAAAATTAAACGATAGGATATGAATATTGTACATATATATTTTTAAAAATATATAACAGAGATATAAAATTGCATATTATATTTTAAAAATTAAAATGATTATACAATAATGACATAAATTAAATAAATGTATTTGTAGAGTTCATATTAGTAACAATATATATTAAATTTATTAAATGTTTTAAATTATCTTGAAAAAGAAATGGATATAAGATATTATATAACGATAGTTTGAAATTGAAAGAATTATTTTCTTCAAAAAATTAAGAAAATAAGAAGAAAATAGAATAAAATAAAATGAATAAAATTGTTGGAGAAGTAACATGTGTATTGCAATTTTAATTATATTGTTGAAATATGTGCATATTTATACTTGCTTGTATCCTGTATCTTCGGGTTGTTTGATAAAATTTTGAAAAATGCAAAAAAATATTTTATTGATTATTTATATTGTAATTTTTATTTTAGTGATTTCATCACTGTTGTATGCTTAGTAAATCCAGTAAGGAGCCCTTGTTATTTGACCTTGAGATAGAAAAGATCTTTACACAAATTCAAAAAAGAAAAAAATAAAAATTAAATGTCTGACCCAGTGCAAGATCAAGACAATTTTAAACCTCTTAAAGAGTATGTTAACTCTGTAGTAGAAGGAATCCATCAAAGTATAAATATACCTACTATTTAGGCCTATAACTTTAAATTAAAACCAATTATAATTCAAATGGTTCAAAATTCACTGTTTGGTGGGAACTCATTTTGAAGATCCCAATTAACTTAAACTTAGCACATTTCTTAAATATTTGTACATTATTTAAGTATAATGGTGCGAGTGATGATGTTATTAGACTTAGATTACTCCCATTCTCTATGAGGGGCAAGGCTAAAATATGATTGAACTCTTTGCCCCTCATGCTCTATAACCATTTGGAATAAATTGGCACACAAATTTCTAGCAAAGTATTTTTCACCATAAAAAATTATAAATTTAAAAATGATATCACATTTTTCTCAGTTTGAAGGAGTATCAAATTATGAAAGTTGGGAGAGGTTTAAGGAAATGCTCATGAAATGCCCTCATCAAGCTTTACCTAATCGGTTGGTTATTCAAAACATTTACAATAGATTGGTAGGATCCCTTAAATCAATCATAGATGCTGCAACTAGAGGATCTTTAATATCTAAGTCATTTGAGGAAGCACATAAACTAATAGAGAAAATGGCTATAAATACTTTTTAATAGCCTAATGATAGGGTAAATCCTAAGAGAGTAATTTGAGTCTATGAATTGGATGATTTGTCAATTCTTACTGCATAAGTAGCTTCAATTTTAAAGAAATTGAATATTATTAGAGTTAGCTTAAGATATGGATCATTTATGTAATTGAAAGATCCTAATGAAAATTCTATTGATGTTCATATTGCTTTAGGGATTGAAAATATAAATTTGATTGGAATGCAAAATAATCCATATTCTAATGCGTACAATCCAGGATGGAGGAACCACCCTAAGTTCAATTGGTCTAATAATATATTAGTGGTAATAATTAATGGAATACATGTCAATCTAATCAAGGAGGGAATTGCAATATGCCTTAGTAACCTGTTATGAATCCTAGACCTTATCTTGTAGGATTTAACCAAAATAATCAGTTTGGGAATATAATGTCATCTTTGTAAGAGGTAATGATTTAATTGGGAACTAAATTACAAAGTCAAGATGCTTCAATAAAAAAATTGGAAACTTAATTAGGGCAGCTTGTAATCTCTTTTAGTAGTAGACCCCTTAGATTATTGTTAAGTAATATTGAAGTTAACCCTAAAGAGAAAGATCATAGTAGAAACCACTTGATTAGTGGTAGTGATATACCTTAACCAAAATGATAAATCTTGGCAAGTTTGGCTGAAGACTCTAAATTTAGCATTGTATTGGTAGGCAACCCAATTCTATTTGGTGTTTCTTCTTTATTTGTATTTTGTGATTTATACTTTCTTTTTAAGTGAATATGGTGTATTATTTATAAAACTTATTAATTCTTAATTTTGGCTAACTTATGATTAATTTTTTGAGAAAATATTATTATGCGAAAAATTGAACTAGCATCATAGTGCTAGGATTGGAAGCACCGCAATGTTTACTTATTAAGTAATGTAGCATTCAAAACTAGCACCACATTACTGGGCTCTCAAGAAAATCACATGGTTGAACTGTCTTAGCACTTTATTCTTGAACACTACAGTGTTATGATACCATCATGAGTGCCTCGGTGCTATATCTTCAAGCACTCTAGCATTAGATTAATTGTTTCAACAGCTATTATCGTAGTTTAGTCAAAGAACCATACATATCATAATTACGCTTTGGTGAGCCTCGCAGTGCTATTGTCTGTGCAGTGACTTTAGGTCAAAATCATTATTATAATAATTATAGCACCGTGATGGTAGTCTTTGTCTGCATCACAGTGTTCGTACGTGAAAAACGTCGTAAAGGGTACCCAGTAAAAAAGCGATGCTTCAATTTCCAAAGCGAAGCACAACAGTGCCACGTGTTCTGTATCGCCTCAGTGTTTGTTGATTTATATATTGTTATTTTATGTCTTCAAGTGCCGCAACGACGACTTCTTCAGCATCATAGTACCGACTTCTTTAGTGATGTAGTGCTCATAATGTTTATAAATAGGATTCCATATATGTCACGACCCAACCCGACCGGAACGAATCCCTTCGCGTCGGGCCGCAACAGATGTAGAAAATCCAGGATCTAGTTTTGGAATTTGCTTCAGAACTTTCTTCCAAATATTCAAACAAACAGAAACACAGAGTCGCTATAAACTTCAAATACATATAAAGAAATGCATCCACTACTGTTTGAATTATGTACGGCTATTTGAATAACTGCTTATGATATGGTTTATGACGTAAATTTCTGGAGATTTAGATTGGCGAGTGTAGTCTTGCTGAGCTGTTAGCTCATCCTTATTTTCTGCGTGGTTTTCAGGTTCTGGGAAAGGGAAGGAAGTCTTGGATTAGCCGTTCAGTGTCTGATAAGTGATTAGGTATTTTTCTTCTTTTAATTTTTGTACAGTCATGACTTTTCTGTTATGGTACTGAAGTAATAATTTCACACATCCAGATAAATTATAATTCGATTAAAACACCGCAAAATTCAAAGTACTCGGTAAAAATCTTCCATAAAATACTCAAAATGTGCACAAATATCATCTCCTAAACATACCAAAAGTTACACGGTACAAAAGTTCATCAGTACAAAACGGAATCAATTATTCGCTAATGGAGACAAAAGTCGAAACAGAAAAGTCATCAAAATCCTCATTTCTGAAAATTGAGAAAGGTGAAATGTGCCTTACCTCGAGTCGGTCAACTTTCTCTCTCTTCAAAAAGATCTCATTTCCATATATATCCAACCAGATCATGCCAGATGATCCAAAATTGTCCAGGGACGATTTGCCCTCTGGACGAATTTCGTTCAGACGAAATAATTATCGTACCTGGACGAGTTGCTCTCTGGAAAAATTTCGTACGGACGAACCTCATTTCGTCCTGGGACGAACTTCTCTGTCCAAAAAAAAAAAACATCATAAGCTAAAATCTGTTCAGGCTCTTCCTTGTACTGCAGATTCTCCTAAATCTCCACATCCTCAACAGACAGTTTCTTTTCAGAATTAGATATCCACTTTCAACATTATGTATATCGAAAATTTGATCAGACAATAACAATCTATAAGCAGCCTTTCCAATCCCTTCAATAATTTCAAAAGGTCCGACATACCTTGGACCAAGCTTGCTTACTCTTCCAAATATGCTAACAACTTTCATCGGACTTACTTTAACATACACAAAGTCACCAATTTGAAATTCCACAAATCTGTGCTTCTGATTGTAGTACTTCTATTGCCGATCTTGTGCAGCTTTCAATCTTTCTTTAATCAGATTGATTTTCTTAACAGTTTCATTCACAAAAGTTGCACCCAATTCTTGTCTATCTCCCACTTCAGTCAGAGTCAAAGTTGTTTTACACTTTCTGTCGTACAGAGCTTCGTAAGGTGCCATACCAATACTTGACTGATAATTATTATTATAAGCAAATTCAATCAAAGAGATATGATCTTCCCAACTGCCTCAAAAATCCAGAACACATAACCTCAAAAGACCTTACAGTACCTGAATAGTTCTCTCAGACTGCCCATCAGTCTGCGGATGAAAAGCAGTTTCAAATGCAACTTCGTACCCAAGCCTCGCTGAATACCCTTCCAAAGTCTGGAAGTAAATCGTCAATCTTGATCAAATACAATCACTTTTTGGCACACCATGCAATCTGACAATTTCTTTCACATATACCTGAGCTAACATATCCACCGGATCCGTCTGCCTGATCGGAAGAAAATGTGTAGACTTCGTCAAGCGATCAATAATTACCCAAATTGCATCATGTCCTTGCCTTGATCGGGTAAAACCCATAACAAAATCCATCGTTACCTCCTCCCATTTCCACTCAGGGATAGGCAACGACTACAAAAGACCTTCTTGGTTGCTGATGCTCTGCCTTCACTAACTGACAGGCTTCATATTGTGAAACAAACTCCGCTATATCCTTTTTCATTCCAGGCCACCAAAACAACTTCTTCATATCTCCATACATATTACCACTTCCTGGATGAATGGTATAGCTTGAATAATGAGATTCGTACATAATCTCTTTCCTCAGATCTCCAAACATCGGAATCCACAATCTATTCTTACAGAATATAACACCAGAATTAGAAAGTCGTAGTTCAGGTTTCTTACCAGATTCATAGTTCAGGTTTCTTACCAGATTCAATCTGACCAATCAGCTTCGAATAGTCAGCGTCTGACTTCTGGGCTTCATGAATCCTTTCTTTCAAATATGACTGAATATCCATCTGAGTCAACACACCATAATCCAGACTAGTAGAGGAAATCACCTCCAACTGTAATCTTTTTATATCTCGTATCAAATACTCATAAGAAGTAAGGTGAATACCTGATAATCCAGAAGACTTCCAACTCAGAGCGTCTGCTATCACATTAGCCTTATCCGGCTAATATTGAATCGTCAGATCATAATCCTTGATCAATTCAAGCTATCTTCTTTGCCTCAAATTCAGATCCTTCTGGGTGAAGATATACTTCAAGCTCTTATGATATGTAAAGATCTCACACTTGACGCCATACAAGTAGTGACGCCAAATCTTCAAAAAAAAAAAAAAAAGAAAACTGCAGCCAATTCCAAATCATGCGTCGGGTAATTCTTTTCATGTGGTTTCAACTGTCTTTAAGCATAAGTAATTACTCGATCATGCTGCATCAGAACACAGCCCAAACCTTTCAGTGAAGCATTACTGAATACCTGAAATCCTTCTGTACCTGACGGAAGTGCTAACACTGGAGCAGAAGTCAAATAATCCTTCAATCTCTAAAAACTCGCTTCACACTCCGGTGTCCAAACAAAAGCTACTAACTTCTGAGTCAGTCTCGTCAGAGATGCAAAAATCTGAGAAAATCCCTTCACAAACTTCCTATAATAATCAACCATGCCCAAGAAACTACGTATCTCAAATACCATAGTATGCCTTGGCCAATTAGCAACAGCTTGAATTTTTTGGTGATCAACAAAAATACATTCACAACTCACCACATGCCTCAGAAATGAAATGCTCTTCAGCCAGAATTCGCACTTGGAGAATTTAGCATACAACTGGTGCTGTCTCAAAGTATCCAACACACTCATCAAATGGCATGATCTTCCTCAGAAGTAGAATATACCAGAATATCGTCTATGAAGACGATCACAAACTGGTCCAGATAATCCTTAAACACTCTGTTTTTCAGATCCATAAAAATAGCAGGTGCATTGGTTACCCCAAAAGGCATAACCAAAAACTCGTAGTGCCCGTATCGAGTACTAAAAGCTGTCTTCATCACATCAGCTTCCTTCACCTTCACTTGATAGTATCCAGATCTCAAATCAATCTTTGAGAATACAGAAGATCCAGCCAGCTGATCAAATAAATCATCAATTTGTGGTAACGAATATTTGTTCTTGATTGTAACCTTATTCAGATCTCTGTAGTCCACACACATTCACAATGTTCCGTCCTTTTTCTTCACAAACAGAACAGGTGCTCCCCAAGGAAAAACACTAGGATTGACAAATCCTCTATCCACCAACTCCTAAAGTTGAGCTTTCAACTTTGAAAGTTTCTTCGGTGCCATCCTATACGGAGCCTTAGATATCGGAGCCATACCCGAAAAAATATCAATACAGAACTCAACATCTCTATCCGGAGGAAAACCAACCAACTCCTCGGGAAATACATCTGAAAACTCTCGTACAATTGGGATATCGGAAATAAAACCCACATCTATATTCATATCCCGTGCTGAGGTCAAAAACACCGTATAGCCCTTCTTCCATAATCTTTTGACTTATAACACAGAAATCAGACAAGATAAAACTCTTAACCCTTGGAATACACATATTTCCTCATCCAAAAACAAACTCACTTGTTTCTTCAAACAATCAATCTCAGACTCATACAGACTCAGCCAATCCATACCCAAGATCACATCATACGAAGAAATCGGTAATAAAATCAAACACGATTTCCACTTCATTCCAAAAATATCAATCTCACAAAAAGAAAACTTCCGAGCAATCAAATTATTCACAGCCGGTAAAAGAACAGAAAGAGAAACCAGTAACGTCACAGAATCCAAATGCAAAGCATCAAAATAACGTTCGAAAATAACCGAGTGACTGGCTCCAGAATCAAACAAAACATGACAGGGATGTTCAGAAATGTAAATCGTACCTGTCACCACATATGGATCATCTCGAGCCTCTTACTGATTCAAACTATACACACATGGCTGAACTGGAGCTGGAGCTACAGAACTACCAGACTCCCTCTGATCACCACTAGGTGGTCTCTTCGCCATAGAACCTGAACCACCAACTATACCAGATGATCCTTTAAAAATAGTACATGGAGGAACTGTTCTCAGCCTTCCTGCTGATCTTGCAAAACTATCAGATCTGGACTCAGATCGCCTATCAGATCCGGCCTTGGACACTCAGTAATCCGATGTCCTGGCTGACCACAACTGAAACACTGACCAGTCATCCTATAGTACTAGCCAAAATCTCTTCTTCTACAATTCTGGCACACAGGTGCCCCACTGACTGATCCAAAACTAGTAGTACTACCACTACCAGAAACTGTAGTGGACATAGACTGTCCACTCTTCTTGGGGTCTCCAGATACAAATCTCTTCTTTCCAAAAAACCCACTGCCATAAGCATCACCACTGAACCTCTTCCTACTAGTAGTCCACCGCTGCTGAGTAGCCATCAGATCATTCTCTATCAGTCGAGCTCTCTCCACTAGCTCAGAGAAATCAAAAATGTGAAATGGTACCAGGGCTGCCTCAGACTATCTTGTAGACCCCTCAGAAATCTATAGCACTTCTCAGCAGAAGTACTAACCAACTGTGGAGCATATCGGGCTAAAGTAGTAAACTCTGCCCCGTACTGCATCACTGTCCTGCTCCCTTGAACCAATCGCAGAAAAGTCTCCTGTATTTGCTGTCTTGCAGAAGGAGGTACAAACTACGATCGAAATACTTCAAAAAATTCTTCCTAAGTAATCAGAGAGTTCAGTTTACCTTGGAACTTTTCCTCCTGCCGGCCCATCCACCAGCGCTCAGCTTCACCATCTAATAGAAAAATAGCTAACGGTACCTTTCTATCCGAAGGACACTGCATACCGTCAAATGTCTTCTCCAACCTTCCTAACCAATCCTCAGTTGTTCTGGGCTCAATGTGCCCTCAAACCTCGGAGGTTTCAATCTCAAAAACATCTGTAGATGTCTATCTATATCCGCAGATCGAACAGTAGAGGCTCTATTCTGAGTCTCGATCATCATCTGAGCAACTAACGTAGCAAATTGAGAAACTGTATCAGAACCAACTACTGGGGTAGTACTGTTCACAAGAGTTGCCTGACTAGCACTCTGCCCATCAGTCATATCTGGGTCTGGTAGATCCATAATCATACAAAAAACTATGCACAAAAATAACATAATAAAAATCCAGACAAATCAGAACTACCCCCGACAGACTTACAGATCAATTCCTATAGCTCTGCCTTACAATCAAAATTCCAAAACTATTGCTCTGATACCACTTTAAAGATTTGTCACGACCCAACCCGACCGGAATGAATCCCTTTGCGTTGGGCCGCGATAAATGTTATAAATTCAGGATGTAGTTTTGGAATTTGCTTCAGAACTTTCTTCCAAATATTCAAATAAATAGAAACACATAGCCGTTATAAACTTCAAATACATATAAAGAAATGCATCCACTATTTAAATCTGATTATCTGAATTGAATGTTATGATGTGATGTGCTATCAGAAGGGAGTTATAAGGGGCCAGAATCCTTTGAGATTCTATTTGTGTTAGGAAAATCTGAAAAGAAAATAAGTTCTATTATAAAAATTCTGTATATCTGTTATGTTATGGTGCTATAAGCACAAAGGGAGACATAAGGGGCCAGAATTTGAGATTCTGTCAGTGTTAGGGAAGGGAGGCATAAGGGGTCAGAATCCGTCGAGATTCTGTTAGGGTCAGGGATATGTGATATGTGAAATGTGATATCTGAAATGTAATTTTATCTGATCTGAATTCTGGTTTGTATGATCCGATTTGTTCTGTGATTTGAAAGTTTTATAAGTTTTATCAGATATGTTCTGCACTCTAATTTGAATTCATGTATCTGTGATTTGATTTCTATTGGATCAAGTATTTATTCAGTCTATTATACGATTTATATACGACTGTTTGAATTCTGTACGGCTATTTGAATAACTGCTTCTGATATGGTTTCTGACGTAAATTTCTGGAGATTTTGATTGGTGAGCATAGTCTTGCTGAGCTGTTAGCTCATCATTGTTTTCTGCATGGTTTTCAGGTTCTGGGAAGGGTAGGAAGTCTTGGATTAGCCATTCAATGTCTGATTAGTGATTAGGTATTTTTGTACTTTTGATTTTTATACAGTTATGACTTTTCTACTATGGTACTAAAGTAATAATTTCAAACATCTAGATAAATTATAATTCGATTAAAACTTCGCAGAATCCAAAATACCTGGTAAAAATCTTCCATAAAATACTCAAACTTGCACAAATATCATCTTTTAAACATACCAAAAGTTACGCGGTAAAAAGTTCATAAGTACAAAACAGAATCAATTATTCACTAACGGAGACAAAAGTCGAAACAGGAAAGTCGTCAAAATTCTCGTTTCTGAAAATTGAGAAAGGCGGAATGTGCCTTACCTCGAGTCGGTCAAATTTCTCAACTGCAGCTACGGATGGAAACAGATAGAAGTCGCCCAAAAATTACTTTTTCTTCTTTTTCCTTTGGTTTTCTCTCTCTTATCCTTTTCTCTCTCTTCAAAAAGATCTCATTTCCATATATATCCAACCAGATCGTCCCGGACGATCCAAAATCGTCCCGGGATGATTTGCCCTTTGGACAAATTTTGTTCAGACGAAATATTTATCGTACCTAGATGAGTTTCTCTCTGGAAAAATTTCATACGGATAAACCTCATTTTGTCCTGGGATGAACTTTTCTGTCCCCAAAACCTGTACAAACCTATACCGATCGTCCCAGGATGATCCAACTTCGTCCTGGACGATCCTGGAAGGAAAACAGCTTTCACAATATATTTCATTTATTCCACTATATTTTAATTCCTCTTTTTACTCTGAAGCTCTATATTTTTCCTTGTGTACAATGGCTTCTAAGATGTTTGGAAAGAATATATCTTCCTCTTCTTATGATAATAAATTCATTTCTATCGAGGCTGAGCAAATATTTACGGAGTTGTTATTTAACAAACAACTTATTCCTGAGCAAGGCTTTCAAAATCCTAGTATCCCTGTTATGTTGATCATTATAAGTAGAGGTTGTGAGCATTTTTTGTGAAGAGTATGTTGTAACCATTCCAAATGTAGTCAACGATTTTTTTGTGGAATCCCTATTGATCATGAGGAAATCTTGAAAGAATTGTGTGGACATAATAGTGGAGCAACCTAGAAGAATAGAAAAAATAAACTTATTAATTTCTTGCACCCTATCTTGCTCAAACTTCTAAATCTAGGCATTATTTTATTTCTATTTGACTTCTACTTAGTAGGAATATTAGTGAAGTAACCTGAGATCGTGCGCTACTTAATTATGCCATTTAAATGGCTTACTCTATAGATGTTAAAAAAAAAGACTTGTCTTCAATTATTTGACTTATATCATTAGAGGTACCACTTCAGTAGAATTGGTGCACCCTTCAATTGTTTGACTTATATCATTAGGGGCTCCACTTAAGTGATGAAAGGATGAACCCAATGCAACCCAATCATTCAGTAGACCTGATAGTAGTAGTAGTAATTAGAGTTCTAGGATGCCTAAATCTTTAGGAGATCATGTGGCTGATTTGAAATAGAGAATTGATTTGGTGATGGACTTTTGTGAGGATATTAGGGGATGGCAGGCTCACAACTTTGGGATTTAGATAAAATAGTATCACTAATATACTAAATTCAATGAGGCTTTGGTATGGATGTTTAGGAGGAGTGCTTTTATGGTGAACTTGACCAATATCAATTCGCTACTACTCTAGAGTACCAATCATTCATGTTGTCCGGACTTAATGAAGATGATGAGAAGTAGGAGGAGGAAGATTGTGACTCAGCAGGATAACAACTATTATTGTATTATGTTTCTTTGATCGTTCTTGGCTATATATATATATATATATATATATATATATTATATATATTATTATATAATATATTAGTATATATATATATTATATATAAGTATATATATATATATATATATATATATATTATATAAAGAAATATTTTTAAAGAGAGAGAGAGAGAGAGAGAGAGAGAGAGAGAGAGAGAGAGAGAGACATGTTGAATATGATCACATAATGTGCCATAGCACAGTTATCTTCCAAAGATATAAAAGTCCATTCACCTATCATTTTAAATTCAAAAAATTGACCAAAGATTGGCTTAAATTGACATCTAAGAATTTCTCCCTCTCTTAGCAAGCTAAGATAGGGTTTATTTTCAACTAGGGGTATTGGGTTCTATAAATGAAAGCCCTCAACTGAATTACATCTTTGAAGAGGAAAACTTTTGATTAAAGTGGATATTAAGTTTTAACTTATATGCAATCATAATATAATCAAGTTGCCTTAGATATTTTAAAATGCCAATCATGCATCCCTTTAAAAATATAATTAATTGTTAGAAGAAAATATAAATTTGAATAAATATGTAAAAAATTATTATTCATTTAGGGAATATGAGTGTGTGCACAACGACTGGACCCTTATGCTCTTGGATGAGCGTAAGAAAAAAACCTAATACACAAGCAATCATCCTAGAATAATAATGATAAAGCTAGCTCTATCCTAAGATAACAAGAATAGTATTAACTCTAATTAATTAACTCAAGATAAGTAATTGACTTTACGTTCAAATGACGCTAACAAGAAGACTCGCTAAAAAAAACTCTCACATTTATTTATTTAATTAACCTAAACTAGATTTCTTTTGAAACCAACCAAATTTTAAGGAAATTTTGGCAGCATAATGGCCCTAATCTATAAGAAGAATTATGGCAGTTCCCGACATTAGGCACCCCTATATTCTTATTGTCGGCTTGTGTTGGACCTAGTATTGTTTAGAAAAATATGTATGTTATGTATGCAATGTAGGGTATAAGGTAATTTAATGTATTACAATACCACATTACCATAATCATCCTAAATCTAATATAATGTTCCTACAAGTCCGGTAACATGACACAAAGGAAATCTTGAAAAGTTACACCCACTATGGCAAAACTCATCCAATGATGCAATGCATGATAACAATGTAATGAAAGAGAGTAATATACTAAATTTTCATTTATTAAATTCATTTGAGTGTCACAACATAGACTATGTAGGAAAGTAAGGTGGTTAGGCGCTTCAAACAACAACACCTAGGTTCAAGCTACCAAGATAGTAAGATCAAATATATATAACTTATTATATTGTGGACCGTCCGAAGGAAGCCAACCGCCGCGGGGTGTTCGAATGCAGAGAGGTCGCCCGCACATTTCCGTAGGACAAACGATCGTAGGCCTCTACGCTCGACACGAACGGGGTTCGATGGGAGGGCAGATTTGGAATCCGCGCATTCGCTGCCATTGGTTGGATGATGCCTGTTGACAAAACACCCCGATGGCAGCAACACTACACGACCTAGTCCGGGTTTCCCCCACCGAATACGAGAGATCGAGTGGAGGTAAGATAGAATTGCGGGCGCAATTTTCCCACGGGCGCAAAGCCCCGTCGGTTAATACATCCCGGGCCGGACCCGGAAGAACTCTCGATTAAGGATCCAAATACATTGATTCTTTTCTAAATTGGGATTAGCACGAGGGTAAATAGAACTAGGAAATTCCTACTCAAAGGAAAAAAAGGTCCTCAAAAAAGGCTCAGTCAACATGCGGTGGCTCATACCAGCATTTCGGAGGCGTCTTAGGGTACTAGAGAAACTGGAGAAAGAAGGACAAAGCATCAAATCACATTGCGTGAAGAGAAAGATGAGGGTGCGTCATCCCTATGACGCGGATAAGTAGATTAGGGTCTCTGGAAAGAAGAGGCCTAACATACTAGATTTAAGGCAGTACTACGAGACCGAATGTAGTAATCCTCGACCCTAAAATCTACGGTTAGATTGTGCTCTCACGAAACACTAATTGACCCGTGTCCTAAGCTAATGCAGTGCAAAACCTGGACTATATCCGGCCTGGATTGAGGGAGCCAGCTAACAGCTAAATCGCTTTAAAAATATGCTAATCAAGTTCATTTATGATAGATGGGTGGGTGGTACAGTTTTTTTTGAAATAGGACCGACATCTAAGAGAATTTCCTAAGTAGTCACCTAGACTTATATGGGTCCAAGATGCTCCTAGCT